ATTAATAGCACAATTATTTTCAAATTCTATTAATGAAGAATTAAGATAATTTCATTATTTATCTTCTCATGATTATCTTTTACAATGTCTCTTTATTAAGTATCACATTTATATTTGTTAATTACTGTCAAAATATTTGATGTTTATTCAATTTTCTTAATTTTTTTTTTTTTTTTTTTAGAAAAAGATTATTGTATATATAAACCTTCCGTGAAATATGCAAAACACATGAATCATTTTTCATATTTAAATAATTTGGAGCTGAAAATATTGTTACCAAACGTCCACCGGCAAAATATTTGTATCCTCCTTTAAACATCTAAAATTATTAAATTACGATAAATTTACAATCATTTATTTAATCTTCTAGCTATTAATTAAGTAATGATTACTATCATTTCAAATTAATTGCAATTAAGTATTCCTTCAATCTTAGTTTAGTTTGATAAATATTATCCAATAAAACTAAAATTATTCTCTTTCATCTTCTTTTGATAGATTTGAAGCGGAAAAAAAAAATGTTAGCATTGATTTTTTCTTTTTTTTTTGCAAATTAAAATTTAAAAATGAAAAGTCTAATTAAATATTTTAATTTTAAAATTTTTGAGAAAAATTATCTATTTAAAGTTATGAAATTGAAATTTTTAAATAAATCAATAAAAAATAACTAACATCTGCTGTAAGTTGATGTCCACGAACAATTAAATCGATATTATTTGTTTCACAAAATTCTTTGATAATTTTACTACTAAATGTAAATGATATACCACGTGCACTAAGTGCCCAACCTGGATATCGATCATCTGGATCAGACCATAATGTATCACACATCAATCCATATGGTGGTACAATACTAGGACGAGGAATCTATAAATATTTATAAATTTAAAATAAAATATTTACTACTCATTATTTATTATCGAATAAATGTTCTCTAAAATAATATGCATATTTTTGTGATGTAAATTTTTGATTTTTTTTTTTAATATTATAATCAATATTTTTGAATTAATTTTTTATTTCTTTTTATTCAATCTGTGAAATTAAATTTTTATTTTAAATTTTTATCGGTAAAATAAATTTTTTCAAATTTTTTCAATCCTTAAAAGTCCATTTCAATCCGTTTTCATCCGTAAAAGTTTTAGTTTTGAAATTTTTAATGCATAAAATAAATTTTTGCATACATTTTCAAGCATTGTGATATCATTAAGATGTGGTGATATACCACCATGCATACATAATACTCGATCACCAACAATAGCTGATAAAGGCATCATATTGAATACCATCATAAATATATGCCATAACTGAAATATGTGAACATATTTGTATTATTGTAATATTTAAATAATTAATATTATTAAATTATATTATCAATCATATCAATTAAATCAATAAAACATTTATCATTGTATTAGATGATAATTAATTTGATAGATTATAATTACCAATTCTCCTTCATCATTTGGAAATCGTGTGGTACATTCATCATAAAATCCGTAAATTAATGTTGTATTAGCATCTTCATGATTTCCACGTAACATATACACTCGTGTAGGATATTTAATTTTAAAACACATTAACATTGTTACTGTTTCAATCCCCTAAATTAGTAATAATAATAATTAATGATAATTAATAATAATAATAATAATAATAATAATAATAATAATAATAATAATAATAATAATAATAATAATAATAATAATAATAATAATAATAATAATAATAATAATAATAATAATAATAATAATAATAATAATAATAATAATAATA